CACAGATGACAATCTGAATACAGAGAGAGCTTCTGAAGTGCTCAACTCCTTCCTTTGAGTTGACTTGAAAGGGAGGTAGATGTCTGTCTAATGCAAGATTATGTGCTGAGATGACTTGTTCAGTGCTTTCAGAAATCTGTGTTGGAGCAGGGCACGGAGCAAGTCCTGACTAATGTCACAGTGGATCATCCTCCCCTCCACAGAGCCTGTTCAGTCATGCAGGCTGTCTCTGGCCCTTGATGAGCTATTTTCTATATTGACTTTGCTTGTCCTTGCAGAGCCTTTTTTTGACTGTCTGGTAATAAAGTTTTTGCTACTGCTTGCCCTCTGTCCTGCTTAAATTGCTGATGCATCAGGCTGATGGAAGGGGGTTGGAAAGCTCTTTTGTCTCACTGTATTATGATGTGCTGTAGAACAGACTGCTTCAGGTGTGGGTGGCAGAGTGTACACAGGTATTCTTGAATGCAAAGCTCAACCTTTTAACGTCTCCATTCTGGAGAGCCACATCGAGGGGAGTTCACTAAGATGTGAGCAATAACTTGGGACACCTCCTCATAGCATTTACCTTGCTCTGCTATTAGAGTCCTCTGGATGTTTCTGTTGTTGACAGCATGCCCGTGGCACTCATCACCTGTCTACCTTCATTAACATGTCTTTTATTTCTTTTTCTAGAGTGCCAGTAAAGATTGCAAAATTACAGGCTGCTTTTTGGCACATTTCTTGCCTTACCCCCAGTGTGCTCTTCCTTGACAGATTGGGGCTTTATCTTGTGATACTATCCTTTTTTTAATAATGTTACAGGCAACTGCCAGTAATCTTATGTCCCAGCTGTTCTTGGTTTAGAGAGTAAAATTTGAGACATTGTGCAGAAATCAAATATATTCCAGCTGCTTCTGTGATAATAAACAAGTACTTTGGTGACTAGCAGAACTAATGAAACTCATTTCCTATGGCTTTGTGTCTTATGGTTGATTGCCTTTTTAACTAAATTATTCTAAAACTACAGTAGTGAGGTAGAGCTTTATAAGACATCAGAAAATTCTCAGAAAGTGGGAATGAGTTGGAGAGTATTTTGGCCATGGGAAGAGATTTAACTGAGTTTATAACTAAGAGTGAGCTCTGGAGGATTCATAGTAGTATAAAAATGTGAATAAGAGGTAGAATTTCTCATGTCTGATAAAGTTTTTGAGAGATGCTTTTTCTGCAGTTAGGGCACTCAAAGAAGTGTTTTCCCCTGAAGGTTTTTTGATTAATAAAGGCTGAGCTCATACTGATGTCTTCTTACAGTCTTTATTCACCATAACATCTTTTTAAACACTTTTTTTTTTCCCTCTAGCAGATTATTTTCCATGAAATTTGAGGGATATGGTAAACTTGAAGACCCCTGTCAAGGTCGATTGCCATCAAAAAGTAGGTTTGTGTGTGATTTTGGCAGAAGGACAAACATGCACAAAGATTGCACTCTCACATGGAACTCCAAACCAGCCTGCCATCATTTAGAGGGAGGTTATGTGGTCTTTGCAGTCAATTAAGGGCAATTCCAAAGGAGGCATTTCTTGGGGAGTGTCTCAAGGGACTCAAGGTCAGTCTGCTCAGACACCCAGCTTGTCTCAGGCTTTGCTGTTGCTTTTCCCCTTTGCTGCTCATCTTTCCAAACTTGTGCTTGAGTGTCCTTATTCCTTGAACAGTCCTTTTGTTTCAACACTTTCACTTAGACTGTAAGCTTTCATGGTTGTGCTGCTTGTGAAGCTGAAAAGTAGTCGGAAAGACAGTGGACTTATGACTGAAAGAAGTGGAACTTTGTGAACTGACAGTCAGTGTAAAACTTGCCATTTTTGTTATGAGGAAGAGCTTTGATTTGCTGAAATATTGAAGCATTAATTGAACACTGTTTATCCTATCCTGTCTAAAATGAAGGCTGCAAATTAGTGTTTAATTGTGTGTAGTGGGTTTTTTCCTCCACTAGCCATTAGTATATTTGCTGAATATTTCATACTTCATGCCCGTTTCCCACATACCTTTTTCTTCATTGGCTTCTCAGTGATACCTGTCAGCAGTCACTTCTGTGAAGAGTTTGCTAGCTGAGCTGCTGTGGGTGATGAAAAGCATATTGGTTTTGGTTCAAGAGCGGCTAAGAAATAGAAAAATAAATCTGAAAATGTGGATGTAAAACATCTCAAAATCCTAGCTGCCCCAAGGAGTGAAATGCTCTGAAATCCCAGGAAGAGGTAAAGTGCAGCACACAGTGTATGAGGATGTCTTCTTTAGCAGCAGGCAAGCCAGTGGCCAGGGATGCTGGCTCTGTTTTATTCCCTCCAGCAATCTGTGTTTTGGGTTTTGTTTTTTTCCTCTTCCTCATATGGAAAGCATTGGTATTGGCTCTGACTCTTCCCTCAGGTGTGAAGTGTTGTATAAACATCTCGGTTTGCCTGTCTAATGTCTTCTGAAAGAATTCTGGGCTCCCTGGCAGACATACTTTGGCAGTCTAGCACTATATTTATTCAAGATAAAGAAATTGTTTCTTGCAGTGACCAGTGAAAATACTTTTTTTTTTTTCCCCTCTCTGAATTATCATTGCTTTGTACTTAGCCAGGTGACAACAGTACTCTTCACATAGTTAAAATTACAGACTGATGTGATCTGTTTCCCATATTAAATCAAATGATAGACAGTTTGGGGGAGACAGCAGGTAGTCTGTCTCTGACATTTGTAACAGGATTCTGGCTGTTTTTTGAGGTTATAACAAGTAAAACTCATACATGTATTTAGAAGTGGCTGATAGACATGCCTTGTGGTGTCTCTAGGCTCTAAGTTTAACCTGAAAGTACACAGAGTAAGTCTCCCCTAAATACCCAGAACTATGAAGAGATTTAAACATCGAAGTGCTGCATTTACACACTCACCTCCAGAATTTAGTCCTTTAAAATCCCTGCCCAGCTCCTGCCTAACTATGGAGGGATCAATGTTTCCTTGGCTGAAGAAACTCCTTTGGCTCCTAGTTTCTGCTTTTCTACTGGCAGGGCCAGCAGTTCTGAGGTCTGGACGGGGCTGCACAGTCAGGAACCAAACTTGCACATTAGTGCCTGACAATCCATCCCAATCCAGCTTGTGTACGGAGCTCAGGCTTTCCCCCCCTTGCTCATGCAGCACCCTGTGCAGGAATGCTCCCTGTGTCCCCCTGTCCCAGTGAATATCAAATTATTGCACGGGAAGTGGGACAGCTCTGGGGCCTGGGAATTGAGTGAGTGTTACATTGGCACTGCCACCACAACTGCCCTGGGCCTGCACACAGCTTGGTTTGGAGCAGTTATTTAGTACCTTAGGTCACAGTAAGCAATCTGCTTTGGAACAAGAGGAACTCGCTCTTTAGAAAGTTTGTTATTCTTGACTCTTTCCCCCCCCACCTCTCTTTTGTCTTCCTGGCAGTCTTCCAGCCCCTCTCTTAAGCTGCCTTGCCCTGTGCTTAACTCAGCCTGTCTGTGTACCTGTGTAAACCCCACTGTGCTGTTTTGTTTTGTTTTGTTTTTTTTTTTTTTTTTTAAACAGTTGCCACCTCTGTGGCTTCCAGAGGAAATCACCTGCTGAGAACTTGCTTATGGCAAGTTCACACCTGCCATAATGGCTGTGATCCTCCCCAACTCTAACTTCCATGGGGATCTCTTCAAATGTTTAGGATGTAATTACTCTGCTCTAGACTTGCAACCCCCCAGCCTCTTTTGGGGCACATAGTTGCTGTTGTGTAGGGTAAAGAACATCCTTTACTTCTTGAGATGTTTGGAGAGACTCTTTCTTGCTTGTCATTAATGTTTGCTTACTCTTCTTACTCCTTTTCTGCCAAGTCTTACTTGCCTGGATTCCATGGGTGTCCAGAAGATTGCATTCAATTGAAGACAAAATAACATGCTTTTTTTTGGTAGTAAATTCCCAATGGCTTTTTAGGCTTCAGAAACACCTGGACAATTTAACCACCTTCCTCTCTCACTAGCCATATCCCCAAAATGTCAGAGTGCTGGGAATCCCTGTGTAATTAACCTGAAAGTAAGGTGCTTAACAAGGGTAGAAAATTAATGGTGGCAAACCAGTGGATGACAGAAAAGGAACTGTAATAGTTGTAGTTCCTTTGTGTCCAAAGTCTCACAAGCATTGTGGGATTGTTTTCCCTGTGATGTCCTGAACTTACTCAGGTGAACACAGAGCTGGGTGACTGTGGTCACTTCAGAGGTGGGGACTTGACCCAACCCTAACTGTGTGTGTATATCAGTATTTTCACACTTGTGTTCAATGCACTCCTTCCACATACACCAATTGAGATCAGTGTGGAGCTTCTGTCTGCTCAAGTGTAAGAACATGATTAAGATCAGTCTTAATGTTCAAGATCCTGGAATAACCTCAAGAGAGGCTTGGCAAAGCAGATGGTGTACTGCTCTCCTGGGCCATACTGGCAGTTCTTGGGAGCTCATATAGGTTTTAAAAGGACTTCTTTGTCCTTTAGGCAATCACGAAATTAACTGAAACAAAAACAGCTAATATATTTTATAGAACTCTCTCAGATGGTTGGTTTGTTCAGTCTTTGGAGAAAAAGCAGAGTTGTGAGGGGTGCTTGGTCACCCTTTATAGTGCTCAGTCATGAATGATGAAGCTTTTGGTAAGCTGGGAGTGGGGCCACAACTGATACTGAGAAACTGTTACCATGGAACAGAACAGACATGTTAAGTTTTGATTTATTCGTGACTCAGGGGAAAAAATAAATTGATGTTTGCCAGAAGGAAAGAAAGAATCAATAGGGAAAGACATTTGCTTTTCAGGACTTGTGAGAGGGTATTAAAACATGGATTAAAAAAATAAAATTAAAAGCTATAAAAATGTCTTGGCAGTGTAATTTTAATCTTAAAATTGGCAAAGCATACAAGTGGATTATAATGTTTTGCAATAATGGAGAATTGATTGATGACTTGGGCTTTGAGTGGCTTTTTGATGTAAAGCATGGAGAATGGGGTAAATACGTTTTAGAGTGACAGCTCATTACTATCCTTCCTTCTTTGTGTTTTACCTCCATGGGATGTTTTTCTCCAAGGTGGGAAGACAGGTCAGTGTTAGGCAGAGAGATAGAAGTCCATCAAAAGAATTAAAGCCTAGGGAGAGACAGAGAGAAAGGTTTATGTGATGTTGGAAGAGACCCAGCAGAGCAGAAGAAAAGAAAAAGATGAATAAAGGAGCCTGTTCCAGAGATGTGCATAGTATGAAAAGTATCCTAGGTGGCAAACTTATCAATTTAATTTTCACATGCTAGAAGGTGGTCTACAGTTAGATAGGTTTTTCCATGTTCTTCAGAGCCCTAAGAAGTCTTTCTTCATTCCTGGAACCATCTCCCCTCAAGGAGAACAAGTGAAAAAATCTCTTTTTAGAAGCTTTGCACCTTTTTCCAAATTGTCACCGCAGGGCTGTGCCTTACAAAGGTCTGGGCATGCTGTTCTTTAATATCCCTGTGCCTGCTGCTCTGGATTAGCTTCTTTTCTCCAGCATTTTCCCTGCTCATCAGCAGGTTTAGTACTTAAGAACCCCGTTGTTATTACTCTATTGATGTACTTTCTTTTGAAGGCTGTAATTTCCAAGAATTAAATTGATTTATCCCTGTGTTCTTGATAAGGCTGTGGGAGCACCTGATTATGGGAAACAGACCACATCCATCCCCTCCACATGTCTCTGAGAAATGCAGCATGAAATCTTATCAGTTGTCTTGCAAGATTTCTGGCTGCTTTCAGCTTCCCCAGGCACAAGGGCATGGAAATGCTCTTGTGAGCTTCGTGGATGTTCCCCCAGTGTTTCCTGCTGTGAAGTGAGAAGGAATGGGCAGTAATCCGTCTGGGCTGTAGGAAGAAGGCCTTAATGGGAGCCACTTCTCAAAGGCCCTGTTAGAGCAGATGGATGTGATAGCCCTTCCTGCTTCAGCCTCAATGGATGAGGTGATTTCATCCCCCATGGGATGGTGGGAATGGAGGAAGCTGCTGTTCCAGGCCTGAGGACACGTCTGTGGCCAGGCTAATTCAATGAGACTGAGAGGACTGATGGCAGCAGCCTGGGGCCTGAGTTCTGCCTGCGTGGGTAAAGCTCAGAGTGTTGAGCACAGCCTGGAGGAGGTGCAGGCAGAGCTGCTCTGGGACACGGGCCTGTGGCAAAGACTGACTGAGATAGGAGGGAGCTGGTTATGCTTGTTTATAGTGTTCAGGTGAATGGGATTTTGTAGGATCTTTTTTAATTGCTATGGCACCATTCTTGCTCTGAAAAGGAAGAAACTTAGAAGACCCTGAGTTCTTATCTAAGTATCACAGTTTCTTAACCCTTTGCGTCTTGAAGATGATTTTACAGTCTAGGACTCTCGGTCTCATTTCAAACATGTGATGGAAATCTCTGCATTGTTTGTAGTTGGGTGGGAGGGTCAAAGAAGGGGAAACTCATGGGAAATGTTTCTTTAGTGGAGCCATGAATAAGAAGAGGAAGGGGAATGGCTTCTATTTCACATAGAGGCTGCAAACAGGACATCAGAGGCCTCTTCCTGAGGTCTAAAACCAACAGCAGTCTCTCCGGAGAGGAGTGCAAGCTTTTTGTATATTCTTTATCTGTGCTCCTCTGCTAACTCTGTCAGGCACTTGGGAAGGGAGATTCAGATCCTGGATGAGCTCACAAAGTATTGCTCGTGTGTCTGGTGCTGTCTAAGGATTGCTACCTGTACAAGCCACTAATTAACTGTTTCTGTTCTAGGACTGAGAAACACTCAATGGATTCTTGATACCACATCTGGTTCAGAACTGTAAAATGCTAAGGGCAGGAATAAGCCCCAGTAAGAGGTACAGTCTGCCCATATGGACATCCCAGTGTTACTGGGGGAAAATGGAGCATTGTGCCTTTCTCTGACTTCCAAATATTGATGGATAATTGCAAAAAATAGGGAACCAGTGAGTCCAGAAGATCAATAAAAAGCATGTGGTGAAAGTGCAAATGGAAAAGTCACATATCATAGCATTTTTATATAGTTCTAATGTTGATAATCAGAAGACCTTTAACACTGAGACTCAAATGGCTTTTAGTCATTTTAATCACCTTTATTTCTAAACAATGCTCTCATCATGAATAAGCCTTTGCTGAGGATTGGAACTGTTGAGAAGATTTTGTAATCCTTTAATTAGTCTTGATAATGAGACCTCATTTTGGGGGAAAACTTAATGGTCTTGCTATTGAATGACCTTGATGTGGTTAAGTCACTTGTCTATATGTGTGTGGGAAATGCAAATAATGGAGACTATTTTGGCTCCCAGCCTGTGAGCCTCAGTAAGGCACTGGATGTTACTTTAAATTTGCTTGCTTTGCAGGTCAGATTGAAGGATGCCTGAGACAAGCAATAAATTTTTTTTCCTGCTGTTGGGAGGTTGAGCCTGCTGATTAATGCACCTCTCATTTTTTTTTTTTCCAAATGCTTGAATTCACTCTCCCTTTGAATTTTCTTTGTGGTGCTAGAGGCTTCCAAGATTTTTTTTTCCTTGGTAAATGCCACATGAGGACTATGACTCATCGAGGTCTGATAATTGAATCCAAACATGTAATTTATTTTAACTAGGGGAGCTCTGAATGTGCTACACAAAATTTCTGTAACATGTTGCTCTTGAAAGCAGGATTGCAGTTGAAACAGGAAGGGCAATTGTTAATGTTTGATGCCCTACTTCACTGGGCAGATGCTAAATTAAATTGTATGTATAACTGCATGTATTGATATTTGTAATATATAGGTGTGTTTTCTTTCACCTTAAGCTTATTTTTGTGTGTATGATTTTTCTCTTAGACTTAAGATCCCAACTGTAGTTTATTTTAGCATTTTTTCCATATTACTTCTTTGTTTTCAGTCCTAAACTAGCTCTTATGCGAATTGCTTTTTCAAACTTAATGGAGACCTGGGCCAAGGCATACAGCAGTGATGACTGGAACAGGCTTGAATTGTAGAGAAAGCTGTTTGTTGCATCCTGGGGATGGTCTAATTTGTGAGAAGAGAGAGCAAGCTGCAATTTCACTGGGACAGCAGCCTGGGAACACAGTATAGGAGGCACTGGAAATACCAGGTTTCTATATCTGATCTTGCTATTTGCTGGATGGTGCATGAGTCACTTTATTCTTCTGGATCTGTTTCCTCATCTCTAAACAGGGGATGATGCAAACTTCTGTTTGAAGCTTGGTGATCTACTGATGGAAGCCTTTCTTCTAGAAAAGCTACTATTGCTGTCCAGGTGCTGTTAATTAGGCATTGCAGTGAAAGTGGTAGTGAGGAAAACATGGATGATCTCTTAAAACTGAGCAAAACTGGTAGCAATCTGGGACAAAGAAGGATGGAAAATAGGAGGGAAGCAGCTGGGACTATCCAGATTGTATCTATGTTCTTCTGTTTAAAGGGAGCATTGCCAGTTGTGGCACAGCCCCAGTCATTACAGAGCTAGTGAGCCTTTGCTAATTGGTCCCAGCTAAGGACAGTCATGTCCCTACTCTGTGTTTTGCTTGACTTGAAACTGGCTTTGCACTTGTACTTTATGGCACTGGAAGACCAGAACAAGCAGCTGGGAGTCATGGCTGAAACTGCTGCTTAAGGGACCATTGAGGTGACAGATGAGCATGAACCCACCTGTATGTCACTTTTCTTGTTTGCCAAATAGATATTAGGCCTGCTTGTGAGAACACCTTGTGCTTCAGGTTATCTACAGGAGGAATGTTTCCATGTGTTTTGGTGGAGCTCAGTTCAGGAGGCCTGGAGCTATGCCTTAGGTGGAGGGTGTTGCTGATTCCAAGCAGTGCAGTGCTGAATAAGGATGGCTTCTGACTGATGGATTCTGGGATTACACATGATTTATTCTTGACCTCTCTCAAAGGGAGCTTTTGGAGTAGTATTAGCACTTGTGAAGAGTGAAATGGGCTTGGGGCAAAGGCCAAGGTAGGGGATGTACAGGGTCGATCCCTTGCTCTGGTGCCTGGTGAGGCCTTGAATGTGTCTTCTGTGTTCTCAGTGCCTTCAAGTTTGAAACTGGATTAGGGTTTAAACTGAAGCCAGCAGAGCACTGAGCATCCAGCTGATGCACTGAGAACTTTGATTGTTACATCTTATGTGTTTGCTCTGTTTAACTGGGGATCTGCTGTGTCTGTGCCAGAAGTGGCCCTGTATTCTGGCCATGGTGTGAATCCCTAAACCACTGGTGGTGCCTTCTCTCCATGTGAACGGGTGTGCAGGTGCACACGGGTGTGGAATTGTGTGATGTGTCCTGTCTGGAGTGCCTCCTTTACCTGAGCCTTCACCACAACTGACAGCGTTTCCAAGTACACAGTGTCACACACCACCCTGGAAGCTGGGGGGCAGTGTAGTGTTAAATCTTGCCTGTTAAGATGACTCTTTAAGTACAGTTTCTTTAAACAGAAGGTACTTTTCTGCCCCACTGAAGCATGGCTGACACAGCATTCAACTGGTAGCATACAGGGATGCTTTGCTGCAGGACAGATGTAGCTGGGAAGCTGTGATAAAATGTGGGTTAAAAAACGTAAAATTGTGTCCAGGTTGGATATTTTTCTAAAAATTTTTTTTAGAAGTACATGATCTCTGCTTCTCTGTGCACTTGCCTACTTCCTGGCTGCAGATGATTGCTAATTAAACTTCTGCCATTATTTGAGCAGCACTTGTGTTGATAGGCAGCAGAGGAATGTACAGTCATGAAGAATGTAACATTGAATTTCACCAGCTGGGAATTGGTACCCTTTCTTGTGCATTCCCTCTTCCCAATCTTTCTTGAAGGAGAAGAAATAAAGAAGGAAAAAAAAAGAAACTTATGGAATGATCAACCAAACTAGAACATATGTCAGGGACTGCACATGTGCCATGTGTCTGTTCTCACAGCATCTCTTATTGATGTGCACTGTTACATGCTCAGTCCACTGCCTTTGAACTTGTGCAACAGAGCAATGATAATAAAAATATTTTTAGTTAGTGCTATTTTAGTGCATCATATATTTGATTCTACTGCAGCCTGTTTTCCTCACATTCTAAATACTGAAAAGTAAAAATGAATCTTTTTGTGTCCATAAATTATGGTGCTTAAAGATTCAAATT